CTCTGCCTCAAAGATTACCATTAAACACCAAGGAGCCTTCTAGATTCTTCCCCAACTCAATATATAATATCTCTCTTTACAATACCTTGTATTATTTATTCCACAAACATTGATGGCTGCTTATTATGTGGCAAGTAATATGTTTGGTCTTAAACTTAAAACTGATCTAATAATTACTATGAGAACACTAAGGTTCCAAGAAGAAATGTAATTTACTCTACAGTTCTTTCCCAGGATTCAAAACTAGACCTTCCTGCTCCTAAACCCCAATTTTGTCGGCTTTATCCTGAAACCTCCCTCAAGACAGATGCCATCTCAAGTCACCATTTCTGTTCAGCCCTCCAACCCCATCCCTCTCCATCAAGTGCCCTGTCAGAGCTCTGCTCTTGGAAAACAAATGCCAATAGGACCCTGGTTTGCTTCTTCCTTCCTCTCTTCCTTACCCGGATTTCCCTGCTCTCTCGGTAAAAGTCCTTTTCTTCTATCTTTTCAAACAGCAGAACTCTTCCAGGTCCAGCAGAGCAGGCAAACCCTTTTGAATAGGCAGCAATGGCGAACACCCGGGGCATGACCAGTTGGTTGTGGTTACTGGTCGTCACGATCTGTTCAAAGGAAGGGACTGGGGAACTGACTGGTGGAAATTCGACCAGACTGGAAAAGGAAAACAGCACATAAAGGGGTCAGACAATCCCACGAGATAAATTCTGCCCAGAAGAAGAAAGAGGGCTGTCCTTGGATGTGGTAGAAGCCACTCAATGATCTCCTTTCCTATTGCCAAACTGCTTTCCTTTGGCCTGGGAATGCCACAGACTCCAAAGACAGAAGACTGGAAAGCGACACATTTATTTGGTAGTTTCACAACCCTCATGGTCATGATAATGATATGATGATTCCCATTTTGTTTAGATAAAAGTGTCTCAGAAGGGTTGAGTTTTCTAAGGTCACACAACTGTTGCTGAGATTGGATCCAGGTTTCCATTTTTATTCACTTATTAATCCATTTGTATAATACATATTTATATTTGCTTATAAATATTTATCTGAAGTTATACTGTGTTAATGGCTTTGTGAAATGATGCTAAGAAGGACTGACACAGTCCCTGCTCTCAGAAGCTTACAGTCTAGAGGGATATATACCAAAAAAGGACTGTTAGGGGCAGCTGAGTACAATGACAGAGGAGCTCATCAGCAGATAACAAGGGCTTTCTGAGGACAGGCACAGAGGAGGTGCACCTAACTGAGGGGAGCAGAGGTGGAGAACTCTTAGCTGAGACCTGCAGCACAAACAGGAGCAAGTCAGGTGTGTGCATGTCTGGGGTATGGGGTGAAGTGGAGGATGGAAAGAATTGCATATGGCCCAGTCCACAAGCAAGGGAGTGCCTTGGGCATGTGAAGTAGATCCAGGCAGGAATTGATGCTCCATGTCAGAAAGGGTAAGAATGTCAGGGATGTGTGGGCTGACCAATGTGGTCTGGGATTTGTGCTAGGAGTCCGGACCCACTGAAAGACCGTACATACAGCACACTGGAGAGGGCACAGGGACTTATTAGGAGACTTCCACATAATCATAACAAAAAGGAGCTATCACTGTCATGGGAAGATGTTGAAAATGGGTGGACTGAAAGTCACTGAGGAAGAAGAATCCACAGAAAGCCCTGTGGTTGAGGGCCTGGGCTTTGGGGTTGGTCAGATCTCAGTCTGAATCCTGATCCTGCCACTTACAGTATGGTGATCTTGGGTGTCATTTAACAACTTTAAGCCTATTTCCTGGTCTATAAAATGGCCATGATAATCGTATATACCACACAGGTAGGACTCAAATGGGAATATACAGAATGTGATTAAAATAGTGTCTGACACATTCAATGACAGTTTCCAGTATGTATGAGATATGATTATTCTTGGTTATAAGAGAGGTACTCCTTCCTGAACTCCTCTTTGCCCATATTCCTCTTTCAGATTTAGGGACAACATTCCCTAGCACTTCTGTGTCACCTCCACTGAATTTTGAGCTCTTAGAGGACCTGCATTCTCAGTACCTAAAAAGATGCCTTGCACATTGCAAGCGCCAAGTGGGCATGTATATAATAGTTCAGTAAACCAGGCAGCCAGCCAATAGAACAAATATTTTTGAAAAAACTATAATTTTGAAGACTAGTTATGATAAGGTGTGTATAGAATTATAGAATACTTTCTTTATCTCCCTTTTATTTTGTGGTATTGGGGGTTGAACCCAGAGGCTCTCTATCACTGAGTCATACATACCCCCAAGCCTATAAAAAATTTTGTTTTGAGACAGGGTCTTGCTAAGTTGCTGAGGCTGGCCTCAAACTTGGGATCCTCCTGTCTCAGCCTCCTGAGTCCCTTACAGGCTTGTGCCATTTCACCCAGCTTAAAATGTGTATAAAAGAAGTTAGGTATCATAATAAAAAAATTGTATCTAGAAATGGTTATAATTGGCAGATTTGTGCTTGAATATAGGAAGAAGGAAAATGAACATAGTTTTTAAGGTAGAGGGGTTATGAGTGGATTTTGAAGAATGCCCTCTCTGATTAATGTTCTCAGTACAGTGAGCATGCGGGTATCAGCCCATGGGGCACCATTACCTCTCTGACTCGTGGACAACCTCCAGGTTCTTTGAGCTATCGATGGGCTCCTTGACCATTATGTTGGTTTCCCAGCGCTGGTCTCCAGATTCAAAGAGAAAAAGCTTTCCTGTGTCAGTGCCAACAATGACCTTGTCTTCAGCCACCCAGGCATGGGCTAGATAGTTTTGGATTTCTCCTCTCTGAAAATTGGTTTGCTTTAGGGTTCCCTCAGCAAAACGCAGAAGCTTAAACATTCCATTTCCAGTGACACAAACCTGAGTGTTATCCTGGGGATTAATGCTCACCTGCAAAAAGTAAGAGAATAATAGCAAAAGATATATAAAAACTAATCTTAATGGAATTATTTCCAACTTTTCAAATTAATACTTATTTCAAGTAGTTCAGAAACTCCCTTACACATCACTAAGTCAAGGAATTTTATACCATGTTTGATGAGGGCACACATGTGTATCCACGTAGATGTAGGGTCCATGAGTTCCACAAAGAAAATCTACAAAGGTGAAATGCAGAATGAGCATGTTCCAACAATAATCAAACTCTGTGCCAACAAAATAGAATGAAGCTCAGTGTGAAGAGTGGTGACAGTGATTGGGAGACCAGTGCCTGAGTTTGGGATCCCTGATAACTTTATGGCTGTGGCATGCTTGGTGCCTGGGAAAGTTTCTGTGCAAAGGTGCAGGATGCTGGGTAATGCCCTCCATGGGGAGTCTCTATGCTAGAGCTTATCAGCTTCAACCTTGCTCTAAGGCCCACAGCTCCTGGGAATAGAGGAATTCTCTTGCTAAGACAACCACAATGTTTTACCAGCTCTGCTGCTCCTGAACCTGCCGCATAATAGTAACTTTAAACAGTGGATTTTCTTGTGAGCTACACAATGCTCCTATAATTGTAGAATGTAACTGAGGAATAAGCTGCATAAAGTTGCTAACTCTGTAACTTTCATGAATACAAAGAATAATGCTTGCATAGTGTGTGTGTGTGTGTGTGTGTGTGTGTGTGTATATATATAAAAGATTGCTGGCGTAATTCTTTAGACCTGCTTCTCCATCAGAGAGTAATGCTCCACCCAATCCCAGTTATCAATTTCATAATCTGAGTTTGTGAGTCTTATTCCTTCCAATCTCCCATCACCCCTCACTGGAACCTGCTATTTTGGCTGCGCTGGTCACGGCAGCTCAGCTAGAAATGGAGAAATGAGGGCTGGTCAGGTGTGTGCACATGTCTAGGGGCATGGGGTGGAGTGGGAGGATGGAGGGAATTGCCCTGTCCATGGAGGAAAGAAATCACCTATCAGGAGAATCTGCATGGTCTCCCACCAACTGAGTTTCCTTCCCTAGAGGCTCTATCCTAACATACTCTAATGGGCAGGCAACCTGCTCTCCTCACTAGGCATGGAGCAACTTCCAGGGGTGTGTGTGGCTTCTTCATCTCTGTATTCCCAGCTGGGTTCATAGTGGGTATCCAATAAATGTTCAGTGGATCTACTTGAGAGGGGATGCTCTCTGCATGGAGCAGGGATGCCTCCTCAGGCCTCACTATGCCTTTGGTTTGATTCTAAGATCACCAAGCAAACTTCTGATTACTAATTTCGCCTCTAACCTTCTCTGTATTAGGAATGAAATACACTGGATAAATGATGTGAGTTTTCTGGTTGTGATGTCAATCTCCTGTGAGATGAATAATTTAGGCTTGAGATGCTAATTGATTAGCTAGTATCTCTGGACATAAACAGAACTGAGATCTTGTAAAACTGAGTATAAGATCCTAGACTGAACCAAGATAAAACCTAAGAGGCAACGAGCTTCCTATGAGTCTTCTTTATTTTTCTCTCAAAGTACAATCAAGAATTGTTACCCATATAACCACAATTTCACTGAAAGCTTCCTAAAATGTACCATTTTGCACTGCATTCTTGAAATCTTCCTGCTGCCTAGGAAAACTGCTGGAAATGACCAAAGGGCTGGGGGAGAGCAAGAAAGTGAGCCTGTTTTAAAAATTCACCTCTGGGCCTAACCTGTAACCAGAAAGCAGTTCTAGGTAGAGGAAAGAAGGCAGGAGCTGGAGTCAGGGAAAATCACCTGTGTGATTTTGGATGAATTATTTAATCTCTTGGAGCCTCAGCTCTCTCTTCTGTAAAATGGGAATAATAATTTTGCATTCCTTATATAAAATTATATATATATATATATATATGTATATTCCTTGTGAGATCAAAATTTTAAAATGCATGTAAGAAATATATACTGTGGTACAAAACAAGGATTCAATAAAAGACTGCTCTTACTATTCTATGAGCTACATGATACCTGTTATACTAGGAGGTACCTGGTAGACAGGGTTGTTCTGAGTGTCAGTTCTAATAAGGGCCATTACTTTCTGCTTTTCCCACAGCCAATAGACAAGGTTTGATTCTGGAGGTGATGTCTGAGTCAATAGATATTTGGAGTCTGGAGAAAAGGCCATGCTGATAAATTTCTGAACTGGAAAGTCAAAAGTATTAAGGACTTTGCGCTTCCGGCACGGGATGGATGACAGCTCATAAATGGTGATGACAGGTTTCTCCTGCACAATCTCGGAGATGGCGAGGTACCGCCGATTGGGGCTGATGGACAAGGCCAACATGCCCTGACTCTTGTCTGAGCCTGCAAACAGAGGGAAAAGGGGATAGTGAGGGTAGGTTGTGCTTTCACCAAGACTCAAGCAGGCTCAGCAGTGACACTACTGACAGGGGAGAAAGGTGCACGAACACCTAGTTAGCAGTTCCTGGCCATCCCTCCGTACAACTACTCCTGGGGGGTTATGAAAATGATCAGATGGGCACCTCACTGAGGATGAGGTGGGAGAAATCAAGGAACCCTTCGTGAAGGAAGAGGAGTTGGGATGGAGGATGGGATATGTGGTGGCAAAAGTTGGAGCAACGTTGTGGAGGTGACAAAGAGTAGAGAGCTGTGGGGGAATTGGTAGCAGCAGGTATTGCTGGAGAAATGTATGTGAGTCAGGATGACCAAAGATGGATCCGGAAGAGAGGAACAGGTCCAATCACAGAAGCTTTAGTGCTCTGAGTGGCCAGCACTCAACACTTTTAAAGGCTGGGATATTAACTCAGCCTCTCTCATATTTAGGTGATCTATGTGACATTTTAGTTATGAGATGGATGCAGAAGTCTGCTGAAGTGGTTTTATGATAAAGCTTTATGTTTTCTTGAAGATCAAGGGCAGATGCATTCTACTCCCTTCTCCTGGAATATAGAGGTAATGTCTCAAGATATAGCAGTTTTCTTGCATTCACGAGGTAATGAGCATGAAAATGAAAGCTGTGGTCCTCTAGAAAGCAGACCCTGAGGCAAAGATTAAAATGTAAATCTTTTTTTTCAGGAAATTCAATGAGGGCCACATTGCAATTTTCATGGGCACTAGACACTTTTGTTTACATATGTCCCTTCCTCCATAAAATAGTACAAATATATTTATTTTTCTACACTATTTAAAAATACATGCAATCACACATTTGATGACTGCATTAATATAAAGATGAATGTGACTCGGGCTGGATTCACTCTTACATATTCATTATTGTTATATTTACTTTTTCTTATAACAAATTTAAAACATGTTCATGGGCTCCTAAAGGTATTGTGAGCCCTAGGCACTGTGCATAGTGGAAAAGTCTTCTGTGGGTGTGGGGACCTGGGCAGGGAGGATGTGTGAAGCAGGAGAAGATGCGCCAGGAAGTGATGGGCTAGGTCCCCGTCTGATGGACTCCATGCTGGGAGGGTCACAGCAAGTTGCCCAGCACATGGAACTTTCTGGAAGAGCTGCAGGCAATAAGGGAAGCTCAGAGAAGAACCAGGTTTCGGGGTCATTGAGAACTTTGCCGATGATTTTGGACTCCACCTGGGAAGCAATGAAAGCCACTGAAAACTTTTAGGAAAGGTCAGACAGGTGTATAGAAAGAGCCTCTGGCAGCCAGATGGAAGGCAGCCCTGGAGGGGATGAGAGTAGCCAGAGGTTATTTGTCCAAGCGAGAGGTGAGGGTGCAATACACTATAAGGCGGCAGTAGGGGTGAAAGTAATGGGAGGAGGGGAGATTAGAGAAATGCCAATAGGTAGAACCAGTAGGATTTAGTGACTGCTGGAGTGAGGGAGAGAAATGAGAATGATTTCAGGTGACGGGGACGAGTGGGACCCCTGGGATAGAATTTAGACTGAGGGAGTTAGGGGTGACGGTGAAGACTATGCCCCATGACAGGCTTACACAGCCCATTCACATACTTAATATTTATGTGTATTTGCTCCCAGCTTTTTACAATTTTTTTAAGCTTAAACCTTTAATTCATCTTGGACCCATGATGATAAAAAATATGAAGTGAGGATATAAAGTGGTTCCCATTTCTCAAACACCTAGTCAGTTGTCCCAGCACTAATTAATAATGAATGAATATATTAAAATTATATTTTTACATATATAGCATTGGGGTTCTAGAATATTTACGCTAGGACAACATGACTTTTGTAGTCATATCTTTATCATGAGTTTGAATATTTGGCAGTTTGATCTTTAGGAAACAGCAGGAGAAAAGAAGAAATGAGAATTGGATTTTTGATACAGTGCACAAGGTATATTGTGAGGCATGTGGGTAAAGAGGCCTAAAAGTTAGATATGATTCTAAAGCTCAGGGCAGAGGATGGGACTAAAAACTCAGATTTGAAGTAAAAGGCCTGGTGAGAAGCTAAAGCTGGGAGCATAAGATTGCCTAGAGAAGATGAAGGAAAACTCACTCCTCCTGGGTTCCTTATTTTAAGTGGTCTTCTAGCTATAGCCCTTACCAGGGGATGGAATCCAGGGACCACCTGGCATTTGCATTGCATTTTCTATATTACATTCCAGGTACCCAGGACTCTGGAATTATCTGCCTAAATGGTCCTGAGTCTACCGACAAGACCAGCATTGGCTCTTTCCTAGGTCAGTCTCTACCATCAGAGAAGTCTTAAAGATGTTCAAAGGGTGACTGTTTACAGGATATATGGGCAGCATTTAAGTGTACAGCTGAGAGGACCCACACATATGAAGGGGGTCCTGCTGTTATAAAATGCAATTCAGAGCAGAAGAGATGTGGTATAGGTAGGAAGTGTGAGAATATGAGCATAATAACTGGAATAATAATCTCAACGGATATACTAAATTGTAGGCTAGATATGGCTGAAAAGAGATTCAATGAAGCCAAGAGATAAATACAAAGAAAAAAGAGTTTAAAAACATGGAGGGTTAGAGTTGAGATGGTCTGGAGTTCTTGGAGATAACAGAATGAAAAAGGTACTATATTCCAAAGTGACAATTGTTAAAAACTCTCTAGAATCACTGCGCTGCGAGATGCCTACCCTTGGATCCAAGAATCCCTAGGAAGATTAGAAAGGGAAAATAAAACCTACACATATAATAAAAACAGACACAGAAAACTTCTTAAAAGCATCCAGAAAAACAGACTGATCATCTATAGATAGAAGACCCAATGGCTAATGGCTTAACCACAACAAGAAAACAGAAGTAAAAAACAATGCAGCAAAAACTGCAATGTGCTGACAAAAATTCTATACCTGGCCAAATTCTCTTTCAAATATGAGGATGAAATTAAAGTAATTTTAAATTAACAAAATCTGGGAGCATCTACCATTAACACATCATCACTAACTGTAGAAGGAAAATGATTGCAACTGGAATATCTGATTTCTAAAGAGTCATGGTGGGAAAAAAAAGAATCATGGTGGGCAGAATTCAGTAAACTTGAGAGCAAATATAAATAAATGTCTATATAAAACAATGACTGATTTAATATTAGAAATCCATGTAATCTTATGGAAATATAGAAAGTGCATGCAATAAAATTCAGTATGTGTTCATTGGGGGGAAAAGCATAGCAATCTAGAAAATTAAAGGATTTTCCTTAACTTGATAAAAGACATTGACAACTGTCTGCAGTAAACATCCTTTTGTGTAACAAATATTGAAATAATTCCTTTTAAGAGTAGAAGCATGACAAGGATGTTCTCTTTCATTGTTCCTATTCAACTTTGTCAGGAGGTGCATGCCAATACAGTGACACAAGAAAAAGAAATAAAACCATAATTTTTTGTAGATAATATGACACTCTACGTAGAAAACCCCCAAGAATCTACAGATTTGTTATTAGAATTAACAACAGTTGAGCAAATATGTTAGACATAAAAAAGCCAACTATATTTAGTACGGTTTATTCTAACAGAATAATAGCTGATGTTTGGTAAATCTGACTTCACTAAAACTAAGAATTTCTGTCCATCAAAAGATAACATGGAGGAGAAAAATTCAAGCTCCAGATTGGAATGATTAGTACATAGACTAATACAAAGTGTGTCATTAAGTCAATAAGGAAGTTACTAAAACAAAACAAAAAAACCCCAAGCCCCATGAAGAACAATAGAAAAATGGATTAAAAAGCTTGAATGAGACATATAACACAAGGGTAAGTAGGAGTAGTCTGTAAATATGTGAAAAGATACTAATTTGCACTAATAATAGAGAAAGGCAAACTAAAATCACAATAAGATACCTCTTCTCAAGCATTAGACTAGCAAAAAATGAGAAGTTGAACATGACAAAGGGTTGGTAAAGTTGTGGAAGAATGAGGACCCTTATGCATTGCTGGCACTAAGGGTCCTCATTAATTTTATTCCTGGATGTGAGTCCTAGAGAATCTTTGCAAAGTGCAGGAACATGTATGAATGCAAGAATATTTATAGTGGTAACATTTCTAATAGCAAATAGCTGTTATTTCTCAGAATGCCCCTGAAGCCTAGGGTGGGTATATAAATATATATTTGAGACATTATATTCAGAGATTGGAATACTTGCTACAATCAAATGAACTCAGTTATATGTATCAAGATGCATGAATCTCAAAAGCATGATGTTGAACAAAAGAAGAAAGTTACAGGCTACATACATTATGATTCCATTTAAATAAAATTGGAAAATAGCAAAAATAAAAATATATTTTGCATAAAGTCACACATGTATGTAATAAATGCTGTATGGAAAATAATTACAAAATTCAAAATGGGGGTGTGTGGGGATGGGAAAGAAGTACTGGAACTGGCAATGTTCTATATATTATCTTGGATGGTTCATAGGTTTTCATGTAATAGTAATTCTTTATTACATATATAGAGTATATACTTTTATATGCACATATCATAATAAAGCGTTCAACACAATAAAGAGTGGGGAAAAAGAGTGGATTGAATTGTCATAAATATCACTGACAGAATGAATGAGAACAAAAAATGTAATGTCATACAAATATTTTTTTGTGTGTGACTAAGGGTAAATTTTTCTGTGTCTTCATTGTACCAGGATTTAAAAGGTATA